TAGCATTGAGAAGATTATATTTTGAGTTGTCATATTGAAATATAAACTTTACAGGAACAGCAGTTCTCAAATAACTAAAACTACTTAAGTTTTCAGTTCCCTTATTTTCACCATATTTTGAAACATTTTAGTATTAATCTAGTTTTGGAAAATATCCGTAGTTAGTATATTAGTAAGTTGTATTACATGAGGAATGTCATCTGTATTTATCACATCATGTTTATTAAGGTCCTATCTTGGGTAAAGGATTCTTTACTAAAAAAAACCCACAAATATAGTGCTGACCTGCTCAGATACCTTTGGTTTTTCTTTTCTTTTCTTTACACAGGCAAGAGCGCTGCTGCAAACTGCATCATCTTTAGCACCCCACATGTATGAGCCGCATTTTAATTTTGCAACAATCTCTGATAAGGTATTCTCTTTCTATAGCAATTTGGTTTTTAAAAAAATCATACAGATAAATAAGGGCATTCTAGCCATAACTTCCGGAAAGAAATGATTTTTTAAACACAATTATTATATACACATATGTCTTCCCTTAAGGGACCGTGTAATAAACTTTAAAGAACGTTATCACCGAATATTGCCTAAACTTAATACCATTATGGATTGCAGAAGAATTATTTTACGTTTTAAGATATGACATTTAGTCATTAAAAATATACTCATTAAGGAGCTGCTGGGTTTGGGAAGGATTCAGTAATTGGCATTTACAGCAAGGAAATTATTTATATAATTGGTTATTTTCTTTTTCTCATATTTTTTCAAGTCAGAATTGTTATCTAGGTGAAAGAATTCTAAATTCCAAATAGCATAATCAAGCAGTTTACCCTTGGGAACCATTTGAGTTTGGACAGTGTGCAGATAGTATGTCTTGTTTTGACTCCCTTGCTCATTTTTGGGGAGTTTTATTCTGTGGTCTTATTCAGGTCTTTCTTGCAGATTGGAGATCTACAGAGAAGCTATGTTGCTGCTCGCAAGTCTGAGGCCGCATTTCCGGATCACGTGGACACCCAGCACTTAATTAAACAGTTAAAGCAGCACTTTGCTATGCTCTGATTGCTCCTTAGACCAAGTGTGTTTTTACGATGGGGCATTATATGAGGGAAAAGAAGTGTGTTTATTTACATATGTGATACAAACCTGTGCTTGATATTAGTGAGGATGACACAAGGGAGTTTAAACAAGAATGTAAATTAAAACTTTTATAATAACTTTGTAATATTACAAAAGACAGGATTTCAGCATTTGTAAGTAGATCATGAAGCTTTCTCCCACATTATATAGTGGATGTTTATAATGTTTATAAACCATTTTCATGAATTTCCTCAAAGTTTTATAAATGCACATTTTTACTGTTCTTAAGCTTGCCATTAGCTATCATGTAGCTAAAGAGGTCTGAAACTTGCACTTTTATGGCTAAAAATGTGTATATTTACTCTAATTAGAGATTTATTTAAAGTATTTATCAGATGCTTTATGAGAGACTCTACATTTTCCTATGTATTATGCTTTAAAATAAATCAGTGTGTAAAACACCATCATTCTGTTATTTTTCATGAGATTTTATTTCAGGGAGCTCAGATAAAAACGTCTTTCAGAAGTCCGTAATCTTAGAAATCAAGTCATCATTTTAATTTTATTTGAAATGATGCACCACCAAGTCGGTTTTGTCCCTGAGAAGCTGTTTTTGGGCTATCACATTGTTAGTGTCAGAACCTCAGGGTTAGGAATGGGGTCACAGGCCAGGAGTCCACCTGTGCTCAGCCCCGGGAGGGTCAGGCCAGGTCCCAGTTCTGTGCATTGTAAATCCTGGACAGGCCCCGAACTGTATTAGAGGAACTCTCCTTAAGGTGTTTGTTCAAGGTCGTGTGTCAAGGGGACAGGGACACTCAAATGTGCATTTTGGACTTTGGCATCTGTCCATGTTATTTTTCACTTCTTAACTTCATGAACACTATTTTACAGATGCCTATTCGTTTCTGTTCAGATTTGTGTAAATAGTACTACTTAGCTGACAGAACAAAACCATGTGAATTTAAGGCATTCTAGATTGTCAGAGGCTGGAAGTAACCTCCAAGAATATGTGGAGAGTGTCTTCGAGGTGCAGATGAAGGAAGGTGTGTTCTAGGGTCCGGAGTTGCCCAGTGACCGGTGGTACAGCCATGACGGACCCATGGTCCTGACCCTGAGCTTTAGGCTTTAACCTTTCCTTCTGCAGGGCATGCAAGTGCTGCTTTAGCTCATGGGAATTTCCTCCAGCCCTAGTACTGCACTTAGTATTTAGATTGACATTTTATAATGTGAACCGTGTTCTCAGTTAATGTAAGATAAGAGCTAATCACAGCGGCTAACACTAAGAATGTGTGTGCACTCAGCACTGTTCTAAGCACTTGATGTGATTAATTCATCTGATTCCCACTGCAGTCCTGTGAGGTGCTGCTATTCCCATTTTACTTGTGAGAAAAACGAGGCACAGAGAAGTCAGGCCACTTGCCCAAGGTTAAACAGTTACCAGTGGCAGAGCTGAGATGTAAATACAGGCATGGTGGCCCCCGAGTGTCTGCTCCTAACCACTCTGTTAAATCACTTCACAGTGTTTCTCCTGTAAATAAAGCTACGATCATTTAAAATGAATATTATATGCATTAGTAAAAGTGAATAATAAGGGAATAGTCACACAACAAAAAGTAAATGAGTCAGTATTCCTAAGGCAGCGGTTCTCAACCTGTGGGTCGCGACCCCTTTGGGGGTCAAATGACCCTTTCACAGGGGTCGCCTAAGACCATCGGAAAACACATATAATTACATATTGTCTTTGTGATTAATCACTATGCTTTAATTATGTTCAATTTGTAACAATGAAATTGGGGGTCACCACAACATGAGGAACTGTATTAAAGGGTCGCGGCATTAGGAAGGTTGAGAACCACTGTCCTAAGGTGACACAGAGATATTTTTGTCCTGGCTTTATGTTAATTCAATGTGAACACCAATGCAAAGGGTGAGTCAGAATGGCTGAGGGCAGAATGATGACATAACACTGCGTCAGGAGCTATATACATCTCTGTAACAAAATTATTTCTGAACTGCGTCATTTCTGGCTTCTGTGCCAACATTCCTATAGAAGGAAGGTTAACAATTGTCTTCAATCATGGCTAAAAAGGTATTCAATCCATATGCAAACTGTTCAACCAAATTAACATCATTGAGCTTCCGACTGATGAAAATGAGATATGGCAAGAAGGCTGCCCACACTGAATAATTGCTGAGGTTAGAAGTTCTTCCTTTGCAAATGTATCACATCTGAACCAGTCCCCTATGGTACTAATTGTTGTTACATTTCCGATCCCAGGATCAGAGCACCCATCAGGATATGGCTTAGAGATAGGAAAATTGATAAAGATGACACGTCACTATCCTTTTAATGTAGTTTCCACCACCAATTCTTTATTAACATGAAGGATTTCTTATCAAGAGATTTCAGTTGGGACTGAGTTTAAGCATTCAGAAAAAACACACACAAAGATTTTAGAAATACTGTGGTAATACTCAAACCTTGGACTATAATGAACCCAAAAATTGAGTTCAGGTAAAAGGCCATAACCAAATGGTTATAAATTCTAGGAAATAGGTTAATTGGAATGGTCCTTGGATATGTTCTAGAGTTCCAAAATGGTTATCTAGGCTCAGATATAAGTGGGTGTGGGGGAGATTTATTTAGTAATTTGAAAATAACTGCAGTTTTATATTCTTCCATGTAGATGGCATTAGTCCTATTTTTTGGCTGGCAAATACAACATTTTTCAGAGATGCTGGCATTTTGCTTCCTTGATATTAAAGCCATATTCTTGAGATTAAAGAATAAAGATTAAATAAAGATTAATTTATAATCACGGGACTATAACATTCTTTGCAGTGTGATCCTTTCCCTTACCTGAATCCTGACTAATGGGGAGTAATTGGTTGGTAAGATGTCAATGATGGAAACTCTTGGAGAAAGCAACCACATTATTTTAGGGAAGAAAAGGCCACACCTAGACAGATTTTAGGAAGAAATTTTTTCCCTTTTTTTAAACAATATATTTTTATTGATTTCAGAGAGGAAGAGAAAGGGGGCGCCTACTGGGGATCGAACCCCCAACCTAGGCATGTGCCCTTGGACGGAATCAAACCTGAGACCCTTCAGTCCGCAGGCTAACACTCTATTCACTGAGCCAAACCAGCTAGGGCAATTTTTTCCCTTTTTAAATCAGAGACAAGATAGACCCTCACCCAGTGTTTGAAACTCAAGTTCAGTGGGCTCTAGAACTTCACACTGTCACTCCCCCCGCCCCGCCCCCACCGCATACACACACCTGACCCACACCTGCTCTATGAGATTCTCTCTCTCTCTCTCTCCCTCTCCCTCTCTCTGACTAACAGGCTTCTAAAGCTTCCCCCTTTCTAGTACTCCCATCATTATGGAAACTGCTCTCATTAAGGTCACTAATAACTCCCATTGAGCAAATCCAGCGGTGCTTTTTAAAAAAATACCCCCTTTTAAAATATATTATTCATATACCATACCATTCTCTTTAGTACCATTCAATGATTCTTAATATATTCGCAGCTGAGCAGCCATCACTATAATTAATTTAAAACCATTTCACCATCCCCAAAGAAGCCTCATACCCATTAGATTCTATTGAATGTGTAGATCTATTGGGGGAATTTTGCCATCTTAATATTAAGTGTGTTCATGAACATGGGATGTCTCAGGGGTTCATTTTTAGTCTTTCTCTCACTTGACCTTTCTCAGCATTTGCATGGTTCACTCTCTTGAAGTTTTCTTCTCCTTTGACTTCTTTAGTGCCATCACTTTTCTGGGTTCTCCTCCCACTTTTCAGAGCACCCCTCAATCTCATGAAAGACTCCAAATTGCCCAATAGCTTAATTCCTTTTCTTTTGCTTGTTCTTTAAATTTTGTTGTTAGGGTTCCGTTTTCCACCCTTTTAAATTCTCACTTTTTCTCTTATTCCTCAGTATGCTCATTCTCTCAAACAACCTTCAACTACCACACACAGGCTAGGGGTTCCCAGTCTGTGTTTTGGGTCCCATCTTCTGACTCCAGATACTGATTTCCAACTTCCAACTGGAATTGTCACTTGGATATTTCAGAGCCATTTTAAATTCAAAGTAAAAGTATTCATCAGCAGCCTCTCCAAATCTGATCAGACCTTGCACTGTATACAAAAGTTAACTTAAATGTATGACAGACCTCAATGTATAACTTGTAAGTAAAAACTTGTAGAAGAAAACATAAGAGAAATTCTTTGTCAGTTTGGTTTACATATTTTTTTTTAGATGTAGCACCAAAAGCATCCTAAAAAGAAAAGAAAGAAAGATTAAGCAATTGGACTTCATGAAAATTAAAAACTTTTACAACTTGAAAGACCTTGTTAGGAGAATGGAAAGACAAACCATAGGCTGGGAGAAAATACTTGCAAATCTTATATCTGATAAAGAATTTACATTTAGAATATATAAAGAACTCTCAAAACTCATTAAGAAAAAATAAAAATGGGCAAATAACAAATTTTGACACTTCACTAAAGAAGCTATATCGATGGCAAATAAGCACATGAAAAGATTCTCAACAAAATTAGTCATTAAGGAAATGCAAATTAAAATAAAGTTAGAATGGCTACATTTAAAAAGATAGACCATATCAACTGTTGGTTAGCACGTGGAGCAAGTAGAACTATATACTCATACTGGAGGTGGGAATGTAAATTGGTACAACCACATTGGAAGATGGTTTACAGTTCCTTAAAACATTAAACTCTACCCCTCCCATTTGATCCAGCCATGCCATTCCTGTGTATGTACCCAAGAGAAATAAAAGCATACATTCATAAAAAGACTTGGGCCTGAATATGTATAGCAACTTTATTTGTAATAGCTCCCAACTGGAAACAATCCAGATATCCATATCAACAGGTGAAGGAATACTACTAAATAAGCTGCAGCATTTCCACACATACAAAACAACAAAAAGAAATGAACTATTGACATATGCACAACATGAGTGAATATTAAAAGAATCATGCTGAATGAAAGTAGCCAAACAAGAAGTACATGCTGTATTATTCCATTTACATAAAATTCTAGAAAATGCAAACTAATCTGTATTGACAGAAAGCAGACCAATGGTTGCCTGGGAACAGGAGGCTACAGAGAGGGGTGGGAGGGAAGACTCACAAAGGTGCATGAGGAAACTTTGGGGGGATGGCTATGTTCGTTATCTCAATTACGGTAGTGGCCCCATCACTGTATACATATGCCAATCTTATCCCATTTTACACTTGAAATATATTCAGTTTATGTCAATTATACTTCAATGACACTTTTTTTAAACAAAAATCTCATAGAATCCTACATTCTTACAAAAAAGTCAGTTTCACTGTATGTAGAGTATACTTCAATAGACTTGATTTAAGCAAATACAAATATCCCAGGTAACTGAAGTGCCATGCTATTTTTACAGACACTGTTTAAGTGC